ATTATTTTTTTCTTTAGATAGTCATGAAAAAATCAGTAATTCTAGTTAAGAAGTTATTGGTTTCACAAATGAACGCTGTATTTTGAAAACGTGATGAGTCATACTTTTTTTAAAAATGAGGTTATTTGAAAAGAATATTTTCAAAAAAATATTTTTTTCAAATAACCTCACTTAAAAGAAAAGAATATTAAGATAAAATAAAGATTTTTTTTAGATAAAATGAAGATTGTTTTAGATAAAATAAAAATTGTTTTAGATAAAATAAAGATTTTTTTAGAGAAAAGAAACAATTTTTAGATAAAATAAAAATAAAATTTTTTATAGGAGAAATATTTTTCACTCCCTTGTAAAATTTTAATTTTGTGACTTGTCACATTTTCAAAATACAACGCTCAATTTAGCTATTATGTTTTTTTGGTGCTACCCATTTATTTTTTCTAAAACTTATGCTTTTCTTAGTATTCATTGAAGTACAACTTGGTAAACTACAAAACACATCAAATTCAGTTATAAAAATTTGAGTAACAAAGGTATGCTAACTATTGTATTGCCTGAAAGAGTGTCATTGCAGTCAAGAATTCAAGTACTTTGTAAGAAAAGAAAATACGTAAGTAATGGGTAAATATTTTTTTATAATTTTTTTATGCATTTTGTGTGATATCTTAGTACAATTTATATACTTTAAATAAAATACTCTATGAAGATTTTTTGTAAATCACATTTTACATTAATTCAAGTCTAAATAAAAGTTACTTTAATTATTACTAGGTTGTGTATTTTTGCAGATCAATTATTTGGCACAAATCGGAGTTAAAGACGAAGGAGATTGTATATATTATTTACTAAGAATAGTTTTTAAAAATGGCCTAGTTGTAAAATTACACTATGCAGGGAGAGGACAAAAAATTGGAATAGAAAAAATGTTGATTGCATATGCTGCTATTGATAAGTGGTTTAGAAAAGTTTATTTTTTTTAGTTTCAATTTTGCATTACAGAATTACTTTCAATTTGTTATGTTTCTTTGGTGCATAATTAAACAAACAACTATTTTTTTTTTGCAGAAACTGTGAAGTCAAATAAGCATGGCTTATGCAGAAATGTGATAGAGATAGAGGAAGAAAAATTAATAATCATGGGCACCAAATATCATAAGCAAAACACTATTCAATAACAAGTAGCTCAGCCAATATCGAAACTACTCTATAAATTTTATAGTGAATTTTTTTATTTAAAACTCAATGTGTCAGTTTTTGGTTTAAGTTTGGTGTTTGCAATATGTATATTTAACCGATAAATTATGTTAAATAAATAAATTTTTATACTTGTATCATACATTCTTTTTTTTCTCTATAAATTTTCAATGTAGCGATGCAAATCATTTTATTTGTAACAACGATCTAATGTTGCATAAAACGTTAGGCCGATATATAACATACGATATTGGGCCTATGTTGTATACAACGTTAGGCCATATACAACGTTGGGTCAATGTTGTATACAACGTTGGGCCAATGTTGTATACAACGTTGGGCCAATGTTGTATACAACGTTGGCCTAACGTTGTATACAACATTGGGCCAATGTTGGGTAAACGTTGTATACAACATTGGGCCAATACCTAACCAATGATCAAACCTGCATTGGGCCAACATCGACTTTCAACGTTGGGCCAATGCATCATCATGCATTGGCCCAACGTTGATCCAATGTAAGCTTGATGTCTGGGTTTATCTTCCTTTTTATTAGGTTTACAAATAAAACTTCCCTGATTAGTTTATAATTTACTCAAAACCCTGATTAGTTTTTAAATTATTTGCCTATTAATCACCCTTAACAACAATAACCACCATAAATATATTCCTATACCATGTTCACACTAGCAATGTTCGGCGGAACATTATTCCGGAGCAAATGTTCCTGGAACAAAATGTTCCACAAAATGTTACTTGTAGCGTTCACATGTAAAATTGGCTTGACGGTACATAAAAGAAAAAACGAGTAAAAAAACGGTAAGTAAAACTCGAATAAAAATTAGTGAAAAACAGTTTGCAAATACACATTGTTAATATAATTTATTAATTTTTAATATTTATTTATTTATGAGAGGTAAAACTAAATGCAAATAACGCTGAGGGTTCAGCTAGCTCAGAGTTAGACAATAGAAACCCAACACAAAATACCCGCCATACAAAAGGTGACGTTGGAATTTTGTTATCCCGTTTCTTGGCTTTTATGGATAGGTCATATCTCCTTTAGTCGCTTTTGACGACACAGAATAGTAGTCCATCAGTGGTATAGTACCGAATAAACATATTATACATTAATAAGTTACCCACGACCAGTTAAAACTAATCTCATTTTGTGTTCATACATATTTAATATTTATTTATTTAGACACATTTAATAACCTCAAGGAAAGTAAGTTTAGTTCAAAACTACTAAATATATAACCATATTACAGTTAAAGCTTTAAATAATAATATTATTACTACTTTACTTGTCCCTTTCATTAAGGTATTTAGCAATTGAGTCACAAACATTTTTTCCTGGTCCATTGTTCCCAGTTGTAGAAACTGTATTGGGTTGAGCTAGACTGTCATCATGATGATGCATAAGCCATTCTATTATAATAATATCGTCATAATATTCACAAATGTTGTGAAGAGTGACGCAAGTATTAACAATTCATGTAGCAAAGTTAATATCGCATTCCATACGTTTGCAAATTACACGGAATCGAGCATTAACGCACCCAAAAGCATTCTCAACTCTTCTAGCTCCGCAAAGTATTTTATTGAAATTTTTTTGAATTTCACTAAGCTCCAAATTTTCAGGATAAGGTTTAACAAATGACGCGTTAAAGGAAATGCTGAATCACCTATCAAACATAGCGGAACAAGAGAATCGCCCAGCTCTTCACAACATTTATCAAACAGATTTGATTCTAAAATTGTTTTCAAAGAAGAATTCTGCAAAACATAGCTGTCATTATTTCTACCAGGCAATCCAACACTTGTATAAATGAAACGGTATCAACAATCTACAACGGCAAAAAGTACAATGGAATACCACGCTTTATAATTATAATAAGAAATTGCTTGATCTTTAAGGGCTGAAATAGGGATGTGGCATCCATCAACAGCTCCAAAGCATTGTGGAAAACCAAGAATAGCTTCGAAATCTATACTATGTTTATTTAAAATTTCCACTGACAATGGAAATTTAACATATTTAGGGAGCAAAATGTCATAAACAGCATTAATAAATTCATGAACAATTAAATATGCTGTTGACTTTCCTATGCCAAAAAGGCTAGACATAACACGATACTCTTCACATGAAGCTAGATAATGTAATGCAACTGCAACACGTTTTACTACTGAAATAGGTTCTCGCATAGTTGTGGTAGTTTTGCCTAAATATGAATGCAATTCATTAACTAGGAAATTAAATGTTTTACGATTTACTCGAAAATGCTCTTTAAATTCACATTCCTCCATTTGAGTAAAAATTTCATTAAACCATTGAAAACTTTTCGGTCTAACCCAAACTTTTCTTTCAATCAGATACTTATTGATTTAACTTAAAAGAAGCTAAATCTAAATATGAAAATGGGTGGGTGATTGATTCATCGTTGAATAATGTTCCACTTTTTGATCGAAGTACGGCAAAAACGCTTTCCATGTTTTTCCAATAGCTTTTTCCTTTACAGATGTCTTCCTAAAAAGCTATTTAAACTATATAAATATATTAAATAAATATATTACTTATTATATTACAATTCAAGGGAAATTAAAACACATTTTTAAAAACTATTTTGTTAGAATATATACAGCATGATCTGTTAACAAAAACAAAAATGAAACATGTAATGCAATTTGTATAAATTAAAAACAAAACACGTTGGCAAAAAAACATATCACTATAATTCATCAACAGGCTTGCTTCATACCGCAAAATAAAATTATTGGTAAAAATACTAAATATATATAGCATAGAGATACAAAAAAAGGTATTTATAAAAAAACATGACAAATTTAAAAAATACCACCAGATATGCATTTTAATGCTTGAAATCACAAAATATTTTTATTTTACATAAAGTAAAAATTCCTTTGATAATAGTAATATGGTAACATGAAAAATTATATATAAGTAGAGCTTCATCTAAAAGCTTGTACAATATTTCACTAGCCATCTCTTTAGTTAAAACATTGAAAAACCTTATGAAATATATATTGCATAGAATTGTAAACAAGGTATACTGTTGAAAAAATACTGACCTTTCAACTTTAACATAATTACTAAAAAGATATCTTGACTAATAGAACACCTTATTTTTTTATTAAAAATTTATAATATTCTACTTGGGCTTTAGGCACATCTACTTGGGCTTTAGATGCATTTTCAATTGCATCGCAAATACGCTCTAAAGCAACAACCTCTCTGATTCGCAGCTCTTGTGAACGGTTTTGAACATCTAGATTTGCATTTCCTATTTTTAAATATACAGAAGAAAAATTTGTTTTTTTATTTTTTCACACCGGTTCAGTTTTTGCTATTTTATTCAAAGTTTTTTTATCATCAGAGCTCTTTCGTTTATTGTATCTGGATGAAGATTGAGTTAGTTCCTCATCAGGAATAGTGACAATCGATTGCACATCACTTGTATCATCCAAAGCTTCAATATTTAAAATACTGACAGTCTCCTCGCCATCTTCCATTGTGGCAATCTGTAAATAAAATAAACACATTAAAAAAATTACGCATTTGAGAAATGATTATAAATCATGTTTCAATCAAAATTTATCTCTTGACTTTGAAAGACTTGAATTGAATTCATTTTACTCCCTTCCTTCCCTAAACAAAGAGGATCTATTTAGAAAATAGCATTTTACAAATTGATCTTGCCAATATTAAATGATCCCTTTTATAATTCAAAAACTTTACATTATATGTTTTTGATCTTTATGTTTTAAGTCTGCCAATTGTTGCAAAACTAAGAACCTCTTAAACCTTATTTTGTAGAAATAGTTAACATGCTTGTTTATATTACTTTAAAAAATATATAGCACTTTAAAATATACAACAATAAATTATACTAAACTTACCTGACCATCTTGAAAATCTTAAGTAGAAAAGTTTTGACTTTGAGATAAAAGGTCATTGTCAAGGGAAGCTTCACCACCTATTATTTTGGCAACAATATCGTAAGGCCACCATTTACTAGGAGCTCCTCCCAATGAACCAACTAGAAGTTTTTCTCGTCTATGAAAATATACATAAATAAAAGTAGATATAAGCACATCATTAACACCGTATAATAATTTATCAAATAACTTTAAATGGACAAATTATTATTAACGAATTAGTTATTAACAAAATTAACGAATTATTAACGAATAATAAAATAACAAACTATTAACAAAATAATTATCAACGAGCTGTAAATCTTCAATACTTAATAATATTTAAGTAATTTTTAATATAACACTCAGTTACAAACTAAATTGCAATTAGATATTATTACACATGGTTAGTTTTGTAAAATACTTTCAGTATTTCAGTAAGGTATCAAACATTAAATGTAGAATATGTACATACCTAAATTGTTTCCTCAAATTACTATTTTTATATTGAATTTAATATCCAGTTAACGGAGGCACGATATTAAATGTGTTTGAAAATTCAGCTGTCATTTGTTTGTAAATGTTTGTTTCTTCTTGCAGATGTTAATGCTTTGTAATTATCTTTCCATAAATCTAATAATACTCTTGTGTTAGCCATATTACATACAAATTTATTTATAGGAGATGTGCAAAGGCCAACATTTGTTGTGCTAGCGTCAATACACTCTTTTTCTGAATGCTGAGACATTGTGTAAAATTAAAGTTTTACCTACTAAAAAGAATAAGTACATTGAATCTTGCAACAATAACAACAACAACAACAAAAAGAAGAGAAATAGCTAATAATTAAGTTAAAGGTTAAACTTCATAATTGCTATAAATGTTATGGGCTTAAAATAACTTAATAATGTTATGGGCTTACTAAATAATTTAATAAATTGCCAAAAACTGGTAGCCAAAAGAACAAAAACTTTCAGATGCTACTTTTACTTTTTTTTACTTTTCCATGCAATGTGATAATTATGTTATTCAATAACATTGATCTTTCAAAACTATTGTTTATTTTTATTTTTAAATGTCAATAACTGTAGTACATTGTGGCAAAGATATAAGGTACAGTCATATCAATACAGTCAATCAATAATATATATTCTGAATAAAGGTCTTACTTTCACAATTATTCACAAACAGTAAATTAACTAATATTAAGTAAATACAGAATATTTATAAGGAAAATACTAATGGTAATGTTCACAAATTAAAATAACAAGGTAAGACAAATAATATAATAAAATATATATGACATATAAATAAAATATATGACAAAGCTCATATATAACAATATATACCAATAATAATATCATTAATAATATTGATATAAATAATAATAACAATGATGATAATAATAATAATAATAATAATAATAATAATAATAATATTAACAATTGTTATTGTTGTTATTGTTATCATTATTATTACTATTATTATTCTATTATTATAATTATTATAATAATAATTATTATTATTTTTATTATTATTATCACTGTTGGCAAGGCCAATGATAAACAACTTTGCTTATTAGTTCAAAGTTGAATTTTATAAATAAAATTACTATAAGTTTATTAAAAATGCATTAATAGCAATGCTTGCAATGAATATAATTAAATAAAAACTATTAAACAATGAAAATTACACTTTCTTAGCGCAAGTTAAATGTTACCTTGAATTATACTTTTTGTTAATTCAAATTAAAACTGATCTTAATAAGAATAATACTGTCTTTGTAATGTTATATTTTAAGATTACGTTTTTAAACACACATATATAACTTCTTTTTAAATTAATAATACACTAATAATTAAATTTCTATTCTAGTTATACAAATTTTAAATATCTTTAAAAATATCTTGAAATTTGTGATGGTCAAATAATTGTTTTTAAATAATTGCACCATTGTTTTTAAATAATTGCACCATCTGGTCTACTCGTGATTGATCCAACACAAATGGGATCGGAATTTCCTTCAATTTTTCCTATCAATTTCCTATACACATTTTTGCTGTAATATACTTTTAATAGCTTCCTGTGCAGATATTATTCAGTTTAAAAAAATTATAATTAATTAGACTGAATTACCAATACTTACCACCTTCAATTTTACCTGATTTGAACGGTAAAATTGAACACTTTTTTTTTTCAAATAAACTCATTTTACTAAAAAACTTTTAATAATTTTTTTTTAACATATTCCAATAGAGCTCGTTTTTCTCAACAAAAAGTAAAAAAAAAGTATTGAATAAATCATTTTATTATATGAAAAAAGTTCATTACAAATATAAATGTTCAGTTTTACCCCGTTTTACTCTACTTATATTGATATTATCAAAATATATATTTTTTTCAATCCCCTAATTTATAAAAACTTTTTAAACATTATCTTTGATATAGCACGCAGTTTGGAATTGACCAACTTTGAGTTGTCAGACATTTCAGAACAAGATAACTTAGTTTTAATTTTACGTAATTTAAATATTTGCTGAAACAGAAAGTTTAATTTTATAGCTAAAACTATAGAAATAAATCCGTTGAAATTATCTTTTTTAATATTATATGGATTTTAATTCTAATTATAAAGGCATTAGTAAAATATTTTCGCACGCATTGGTTTAATCATAAAGCGTTTGGTGTCGTGAAGCGTAAGAGTAATTATTTTATGCTCGGTTTTTAAATTTTTTTGTGTATTTAAAATCTTAAACAAAATTGAAAAAGATATAGCTTTTAACATTTTAATATGAAATCTGTTAATATAAAAAAATGTAGACGAAGGTTTTCGAAGCATAGTTAGTCGACTTTAGTGTTTTAAGTACATAAATATATATATATATATATATATATATATATATATATATATATATATATATATATATATATATATATATATATATATATATATATATATATATATATATATATATATATATATATATATATATATATATATATATATAAATATATATATATATATATATAAATATATATATATTTATATATATATTCAGTGAATAACTTTGTGGTTCCCATAAACTTTCTTAAATTAAGTTCGTACCAAATTCAATATCGGGGGCCTTTAGTTTGGAAAGATTTTCTTCCAATCTTTAGTAAAGAACAAACTGCACTTTGCAAAGTTTTAAGGATGATTCAAAACGGCATTTACTGAACATGGAATTCGATATAGTAGATTTCAAATACCTTTTTTGAAAACAATTTAAAGGTTTAAACTAAATCACTTAAAAATAAATTAAATCTTTAACACTTTCTTTAGCTTTTATTAAAATGGTTTCAAACCATTAGTATAAAAGATAACGAAAATAAAATTGTCTTTTCGTTCATATTTTTGATGATATTAAATAATCAGCCCAAATACTTATGTTTACATATATTGCTTTTTTATTTTTAAAATTATTCTGCTTAAAGATTGTTAGCAACAAATTATTTTATTGCTGAAGTTTTTGATTTGTTTTTCTTTTTGTATTTATACTGTCTTTTTGTCTTTTATCATTTATTGTGAATGTAAATTTTTGTGTAACGGGGCTCGGTGATAAGACAATCTGTCTTCTTCTTGCTCCAGCCAGGATTTTCTTTTATTGTAATTTCTTTTTTGCAATATTTATCAACGGCAAATTAAATAAATAATAAAAAAAAAAAAAAAAAAAAATATATATATATATATATATATATATATATATATATATATATATATATATATATATATATATATATATATATATATATATATATATATATATATATATATATATATATATATATATATATATATATATATATACAAAAATCAATAAAAAAGGCTGCGTATAAACTTTTTAAAAAACATATATATTTGTTTTTATTTTAATATATTTTTTTGATTAAAATAAAAACAAATAAATATTTTTTTAAAAATTTATACGCAGCCATTTTTATTGAATTTTACATATTTTATTATTATCATATAACAAGAATATATATATATATATATATATATATATATATATATATATATATATATATATATATATATATATATATATATATATATATATATATATATATATATATATAAATAAATTATAAAAGCAAAAGTAAAAAGTTTTTTATTATTTGGTCATTAAAAAATTTCTTTCTTCAACTATTGTGATCAAGTCTAAACTGTGTTTCTTTATGACTTCAGCAATTGTTAAATCAAGTTTTTTTCTTACTATTTCTTAAAATAAAATATCCAACAAAGCTAACCAGATCATTTTGATTCTGGCATTATATTTATTGGGATACTTTATAACAGACAATAAACAAAACAAATAAAGATATCAGTTCAAATATCGTGCCCGTTACACATCTAGCCAGTATGCAAACATAATGTCTCAAAAACAAAATAATCATAATACTTTCTCCTTTATACCTCTGTGTTACGTTTCTATTACCATATTTTTTATTTATTTGTAAACACTTTTTTTTTTATATTTCCTTTATATATGCTTTATAAGCTTTAAGGATTTTCAAAAATTTTATCTAAAAACATATATAATTTTTAAGTTTCTTTAAGTGACGTCATTTGTAAATTTGCTAAAATAGAAAGTTCTATTATATAGCTAAAACTATAAAGATAAATCTGTTTGAGGCAATTTTTTAAGTATTAAAAGGATTTAAAGTCATATTAAAAAGGCATTACTGAAATATTTTTCACGCTTTGGTTTAAATAAAAAGCCATTGGTATCGCGAAGCGTAAAAGTAATTTGTTTATGCTCAGTTTTTTATGTTCATGTTTATGCTCATGTTTATGCTCAGTTTATGTTCATGTTTATGCTCATGTTATGCTCATGTTTATGTTTATGTTTATGTTTATGTTTATGTTTATGTTTATGTTTATGCTCATGTTATGCATGTTTATGTTCATGTTTATGCTCAGTTTTTTCATCTCTTTAGGTAATTAAAATATTAAACAAAGTTAAAAAAGTAATAGCTTTTAAAATTTTAATATGAAATATGTATATATATTAATATATATATATATATATATATATATATATATATATATATATATATATATATATATATATATATATATATATATATATATATATATATATATATATATATATATATATATATATATGGGGAGAGCGGGGTTGGTTGTCACGCGGGTTGGTTGTCACAAAGTTTATTACAGGAAATGTAAATAAGATATAGAAATTTCAAATTATACAATGGAAATGTTATACAAAAAAAACATTTTTACAGTAATATTTATCTTTTTTTAGCGTGCAGAAGAAAAGTTATTCGTTTTTATAGGTTTTTGGTATGAAAAAGTAAAATTTCGCCTACTCAGAAATTTTCGTTTACCAAACGAACATTATTTTATTGTGTTTTGAATGTAGATTTATAAAGTACTTTATTCATTTGAGTAACTTAATCCGTAAAAAATTATCATGAAATTCTCACGCTTTTAGGTAAATGTACAGGTGTCCAGCAACTTACTCAGAAGGGGTTGCTTGTCACAAATTATATGGGGATGGTTGTCACACTTGCCTCGACTCCATGCGCTGCAAATTAAACGCCGCTTGCAGAATATTTAGTGGCTTTGTTTATTTTCCGCATTATTGAGGAATATTTTAATGTTTAAGATATTATTTAAAAATCTAAAGTCAATGTGTTATATTTGTTTAAGTAAATATCAGTAATATAAATTATTTTTATTTCAACGTGCATAATTTTAGATTCCGATCCAATTTTAGTATAATTATAGAAAAAGGATTGCAGAAGTTCAACTGTGTATTGTTTTGTTTACAAACTAAACAACTAGCTGTTGTTTTGTTTGTGCATTGTTTATATTTAGTGGGTTTATATATATATATATATATATATATATATATATATATATATATATATATATATATATATATATATATATAATATATATATATATATATATATATATATATATATATATATATATATATATATATTAATGTTTTGTTTACATTATTTGCCAATATTTTTATTTGCTTAGTAATAAACATGGTACGAAATTTTAAAAGAAAAACTAATAGAGGTTATACTTCTGGAGATGTCATAATGTGTGCTGTTAAAGATGTAAAGATTAATAACATTTCTATTAGATCAGCAGCAAAAAACCATGGCATTAATTACAGAACATTAGCACGTTATTGTATAAAAATTATTATTACTAACCCATTACATGGTTCTATAGCAGATCTAATTGAGAAAATTGAAAACCCCACCTCCCTGAATATTATAGGATACAAAAGTCGATTGATATTGCCAGAAAAAGTAAAAAAAGAACTGGTCACCTACCTATTGCGAGCAGCAGATATATATTTTGGTTTAACTCCTACCGAAGTAAAAAAGCTTGCTTTCCAGCTAGCATTTAAAAATAATATGAAGGTTCCCAATTCTTGGGTTGTAAAGGAAAAAGCTGGTAAGGATTGGTTTACAGGATTTATAAAGCGCCATTCAAATATTTCCATTAGGCAATCTGAAGCTACTAGTTTAAGTCAAGCGACAAGTTTCAATAAGCAGAATGTTGCATCATTTTTTAGAAATTTGCAGCACTGTATGCAAAAATACTCGTTCTCACCAAATGACATTTGGAACATGGACGAAACTGCTGTAACTACTGTACAGCAACCTAAAAAGGTTATTGCGAAAAAAGGATTAAAACAAGTAGAAGCCATCACGTCAGCTGAAAGAGGAACTCTTGTAACATTAGCATGCACAATAAATGCTATTGGAAATAGTATTCCACCCTTTTTTATTTTTCCTCTTAAAAACTTTAAAGATCATTTCCTAATCAGTGCACCAACAGGAAGTGCAGGAGATGCAAATCCAAGTGGTTGGATGAAAGAAGAAAACTTTGTAAAATATCTAAAACATTTTGTAGGCAATACAAAATGTACTAAAGAAAAGCCTCGTTTATTGTTGCTTGACAATCACGAAACTCATCTTAGTATTGAAGGATTAGATTTGGCAAAAAAGAATGGAATAGTAATGCTTACCTTCCCACCATATTGCACACATAAGTTGCAGCCCTTGGATATGGCAGTTTATGGTCCTCTCAAAAACTTCATAAATACTGCTATGACATCATGGTTAGTAATGAATCCTGGAAAAACTGTTACAATATATGATATTCCAAAAATAGTAAACATTGCATTTCCAAAGGCTGTATCTCCCCACAATATTTTAAGTGGTTTTTCTGCAACAGGTATTTACCCGTTAAATCCTGATGTGTTTACTGAAAATGATTACTTTCCTAACTATGTAACTGATCGCCCTGACCCACCTTGTTCACAGGCTGATTCAAATAAAAAAGACTGTGAATCTTATTCAATGCAACCAGAACCATCAAATAAAAGATTTAAAGAATCTATTCAGATACCAGATAATCAGGTAGACATAACAATAGAAGATCCAGTTGTATCAAATAAAACCTCTAATCAAAACCCAATCACAACATTAGGTTTTAACAATTCAATCATACCACCTGAGAGTATTAGGCCTCTGCTTAAAGCAGGCCCGAGGTTATCATCAAAAAGAGGTAGGAAAAAGCGGTCAATACTATGATTCTTACTAACACGTCTGTCAAAGCATGGCTTGCTAATTATAAAAAGAAGAAATCTAATAAAAAAAAATTTACTAATGGTAAGTAAAAAAGAATTAATAAAATCAAATCTTGCTATGAAAAAACCTTCTATAGTCTTAAATTCATCTGAAGATGAAGAGTATCTGTGCATCTATTGTTTTGAATCATTTTCCAACAGCCGATCGAGAGAACAGTGGATTCAATGTCAAGTTTGCCAAAAATGGCCTCATGAAGAATGCACACCAGGCTTACAACAGTTTAATTGTGAATTGTGTTCTTTATCCAATAATTTTTAAAAAACCAAACCTAAAAACATTTATAGTGATAAACTAAACTTGTTAATTGTGTTATATTTAAAATATATATATTTCAGTTTATAGTATTTTATTTTTATTTTTCTTAGTAAAACATAAACGAAATTAATTTGTACTCGTTTTACATTAAATTCTTATCTAATCTTGTCAAAATCCAAATGTGACAATCAACCCCGCACCATGTGACAACTTACCCCGTGAGCGGGGCTAGTTGTCACACAGAAGCGGTCTTTGAAAAATGATTTTACAGCAATAAATATTTCACTCAATGTCATAAAAATATTATAATAGCTACTGGAAATAGTTAAACTAGCTTTGTGCAAAGTTTAGCATTGATTGGATGAAAATTAAAAGCTGAGCAGCCTAAAATGTAAAAAGTGTGACAACCAACCCCGCTCTCCCCTATATATATACATATATACATATATTCAAAATTCCACATAAACTCAACAAAGGTAAGTCATGAACCTCAAAAGTTGGTGAAACTATTAAATTAACTAAAAAAAGAATTGTCCAAAAAAAAATTTATGGAAAGTTTTGACTTGTTTAAGAATCTAAATAATATTTAAACTCTTTGAGAGCCTAAAGGTTAAGCAATAGCTTTAATATCAAGCACTTATCAAAATGATTTTGCCGCTTAAATCCTAGTGAAGTTTTGTTCCTGATTGTTGTTATTAGGTAGTGGCTACAATACGTCCTGGTATATTTACAGCTCTAGCTCTAAAAAGGTTTTTTTATGGCTCTGATGTAATCTATAAAAATATGTGCGTTTTGTTATATCCTTCTTAACTGTAAATATAAAACATTTTTCAAATAGAAAGATCAAATAGTTCTTTGCTTATTATTATGATTACCATATTGTATTTACTTAACACACTCACAAGTTAATTTTTGTTTTAACGCATTTTTTTTTAAGTAAAGCGGTGTTTTAATGTTTATTTTATAAGATCAAAGGTAAGCTGCAGAATGTTTACCCGGAGGAGGTATTGTCTGTATGCAAATTTATTTGCATAAATTGAAATAAAAACCAGTTTAAAAGTCAAGTTAAATTGAAAAAAAGTTATTCAATACATTATAGATTTTATTAAGTGTAGATGTTGTCAATAAAAATACATCTTATAAAGTTTAGATGATGTCTTTAGTTTCCAGTTGGCATTGGACTTTTAAGACGTTCGATCGACGTTTAACAGACGTCCTGACAAAAGATGTTAGTCTGTTAAAAGTTTTAGGACGTTTGATGCCCGTGAGGCTAGTCTTAAATTTTGTTTATTTTCAATTCTTTAAATGTTTTAAATTTAAAAATGGGAGTAATTAGCTTTATTTAACTACACGCAACATTTGAAAGTAATTCTGGAGTGTGTGGAAATTTCTTGGAATTTTTATAATAAAATACGGACTCTGGCCTAGTTTTATAAGATGTTTTAATTCTAAATGTTGCAAAAGCACTTTTAAATTTAAATAACTCGTTTAATTAAAAAAAAAGAAGAAAGAATCGAAAAGTAAAAAATAAATTAAGCAGTACTTTTTATAAAGAGCTAAAGTTACATATAAGATAACCCAACAATATGCTTTTAAAATACTAGAGATATGCGTCATTTAAAAAGCATGTTTTTTAATATGGCTTATGCTTTTAATTTGACATATGCAAATGTCGGATTAAATTATTTTATAAAGATGTTTTGAAACTATTAATTTGCTACAATTCAAACTCCTTTTCAGTTTAGAGATTTTAAACGTATACTGCAACCTCTAGAAAACTGGACGGCGAAAATGTTTAAAGTTTTTAATTGTTTATATATATTGATTTCAAACACCTTTTTAAATCTATTATTTGACCATTGACACCGAACCTTAAAAAAAAAAGAAGACCATTTATTTTTTGATGTTTTAGATATGACACTTTCAAGCATCGTACGAACACAAACTTAAGTATATTTATGTTAATATCAAATCAGAATGTTTTGCCAAAAATAAAAACGTTTTATAGTATTTTGTGTTATTAATCCTCCTTCACCTCAACATTTTGTAAAACATACTTTTTTGACATAAATATAGACATATTTCAATTTGAAGCTTAAACAATTATTGAAACTGTTATATCTAAAACATAATCTTTAAGTGTCCATAATTAAAGCTAAATACTTATAGAATATTGAGACTAAATAAAAATGGCTTTTCGAGACAAAATAATGTTGAATAAATGAGAAAATATACTTTTGGATCACTGAGATAAATTATTGACGGATTATTAAGATCAAATGTTAATGGAAGATTAATATCAAACACTGTTTTGTAATTTTTGAGAACAAATTTTAATAAAATAATTAAAACAAATGTTTTAATGTTGAGCATCTTGTTATATTTTTTTTTTAATGAATTTTTGTCGTTATGCGCTAATAAATATTAAAAGATTTTTTATATAATATAGTTACTAGTTTATTATATATTGGTAACTTTCAATTTCCCCGTATCCTTTGCAACTTATTTTTTGTTTCTTCTTTTAAGTCTAAAAGAGTAGTTAAGAATAGTATGGATAAAAGAAATTGTATTGTAGGAATAATATCATGTGCATCAACGTTATGTCTGGTATTTGGTGCTATTAGTAAATCTTGGTGGAAATTTGTTTCTCTCAATCTTGAAATAGGGTTATTGAGCATCACAACTCAAGAAGGCACTTTTTATAGATCAAGCATTTTAAAGTTTTATAGTTTGGATGATCCAAGAGGTGTAGAAAAAGGTTATAATATTATTGTAATTTTTATTTAAGAATTAAATTTTATAGTTAATAAATTGTTTATAATCATTTGAATATGTAATATCAACTTTTATAATTTAAATAATTTAATTATCTAATAATAACTTGTTTTTAGATATTATTTTAATTTTGATTATCATTGGAGGAGGATTCTCTCTGTTGTCTTTTTTTATTGCCGTCTTTTTACCTTGTTTTGGAAATGGACCATGTTGGTTTTGTGGCTGCACAATACTATTCATAACCACATTATTGGCCGGTAGGTAGTGTTGCAAAGTTTAAAAATGAAAAAGTTATTAAAATGTTTGAAGTATCAAGTTCCCATATATAATATCACTTTTTAAATATCAAAGTATTCGACGAGCAGGATCAAAGTCAGCAACTTTAGTAAAGTTAGTGACTTAAGAAAATATGAAAACTTTTGGTAATTTATAAGCTTAAACCAGATTTCAATATTTAAAATATTGAAAACTCACGATTAAAAAGCGTTGAGAAAGTTATTCTGTTTTCATTATTAGTATTTCGGATTTCATTTTAATGATAACTATTTTTAATTATCTGTGTTATTATTCATAAGTAAGACGTCTAGCGGACGTTTTGCGACCGCAGGTTATCTCTTAAACTTTATTTTTGATTTTAGGAGGATGTAGTCTAGCAGCATCTATTTTTGCCGAAATCAACTTTAAATCGGATTGGAAACAATCAGAACACGGGTATTCGGCCCAATTAACATGGGCTGGTTCAGTTTTGTGTGTAATTACATTTATAAGTTCATTTTTAATACTTTGTCGAACACCAGATGATTAGTTTGACTCGTTTTTATATAATTTTTTATAAATATTATACAGTTTTTTGTTTGTGTACATAAATAGATTTGTTAATTTTCAAATTTTTAAACTGCTATGTATTTGTTTATTTTTGTCGTTATTCTATGTGAAATTAATTTTGTTATACTTTATTTGAAAAATTATACAGTGCTCTCTATATAAAAATATCAATTTTATTTTTAAAAAGTTGTTTCTTCAATTGAGGTTTTTTATTAAAAAATTTCTTTTTTTAAAAAACAGTTATACAATTTTTGGTATTGCGGTTTATACTAGTCCGGCTAGTTGCCATATAGGGGCCACATACCAAGATCTACAAAAACAAGTTCAGCTAACTAAAGAGCCATATTAACGACCAAAAGTAAGTTTACTACCTTTAAGGTAGAATTTACTACCTTAAAGGTAGTAAATTCTACCTTAAAGGTAGAATTTTTTACCTAAAAAGGTAGGAAATTATTCCTTTAAATATAGCAAATATCCAACTAAACCTGGTAGAGCGCATACCCAGTCACGAAGCAACATCAATTTGATATCAAAATGATATCAAAATATTGCTCAAGTTATGATATTAAATAATGATATCATTATGATAATATAATGGTATCGCAGCTTTCGTTGATAAACTTATTTTATATTGGAGTTTTGTATTTTAGTTATAAAGCAACGTAAAAATACAGGTTTTCTCTCCGAGTCTAGAAGGGAGATCAATTGAATATCAGACTTTTATCAAAACATTCTCAAGTTATGATATCAAATAATGATATCATTATGATAACATAATGATATCACAAATTTAGTAGGATTAGCTTAGTTTTATATTGGG